CTTGAGTAGGAAGGCACATCCCTCCTACTTAAGGCCAATTTCACACTTGTGCTCTGGATCCTACAGGTCTTGCCTTCTTAGAAACTTAGTTTATCTATTATTTCTTCTCCTCTGCATCTTTAAGCTCTCTCTCCTGACTCCTACCTCCCTCATTTTCACCCTTCCATGTTTTTCTCTTCTCTCCTTTAAACCAAACTCACTGAGTGGGTTGTTCTGAATTCACATTCAGGGGACATAGGGAAGCCCCTGGGCATGTGGAGCAGGCATGAGGTGATGCACAGGTGGGGTGTATGCACAGGAAGTTAGTCAAAGCCTCCTATTCCTCATTCCCGCTCTCTCTTCATCCCAGGATTTCTATCCCTCACCACCCCCATTTTATTGACACAGCTCCCTCCCAGATCCACTGATATCCCCCTTCATCCTAAATATAACAGGCACTTCTCAGTCCTTGTTTAACTTTACTTTTGCAGGATTTGACTCTGCTTACCAAGGCTACCTTCTGGAATGACTCTTGGACTCTCTGTCACACATCTTTTGTGGATATCCCATACTTCTCAGTCATCCACTGTCTCTGGGGCCTAGGTCATCTGTTCTGACTAGCTGACTCAGGGGCTGTCCAACTGTGTAGGCTTTGACTAACTTCCTGTGTGTACACCCCACCTGTGCATCACCTCATGCCTGCTCCACATTCCCAGGGGCTTCCCTATGATCCCTGGGCATGACATGCAAGAGGTCACAATAAACCTAAAAGGGTGGTGGAGTAAATATCCTGCTCAGTAGAACTTTGATTGATGGGATTACAGGAGTTGGTGGATAAGCTCTCGTATCTTCCCCTCCCCTTTCCAGCCCACTGTCTGTCACTGCCCTAGGAACACTGTCCTTGTTCACAGTAGTTCATACAACCTCTCAGAAGACTACCTGTGAGACAGATCTATCAATTGCACTTGGTACCAAGTGGTGGCTGGCAAAGTAATGCACATTTATATTGGCTCTCCTTCTTCCTGCCTTCCTCCCCTTTTCCTGCATGCTCCCTTCCTGAAATTGTATTCTCTACCAAAGAAGTGGCTCATGATCTTCTGCCTCAGGTTCTGCTTTCTGCAGAACCCAGACTGAAGCATGTTCTGGAACCCTCCTCCCTGTATAACTGCTCCTTCTGTGTCTCTGATGAAGTTCTTCTTGCTTTTTAAGTCCCTTTTATTGGTGTTTCTCTAGGTTCTGTCCAAAGTTCCTATTTAGGTCTTATTTACTTTTAGTACTTTGATTGCCAATCTAATTTAACAACTCCCAAATGTTTACCTCCAGTCCACTCTCCTGAGCTCCAGTCCTGGATATCTGTAGCAGAGGCATAGTGTGTCTCTCAACATCTATTCTCCATTCCTCCCTCTGAGAAACAGAATCCCTGTTTTTTTAGCCAAGCACGTGGTCACTCGCCACGAGTACTGTATTTCCCATTCCTCCTTGCAGCTCAACATTGCTTGTGACTAAGCTAACCAATGGGCTCTAAGTGTCAGTGATTTGTGCATCTTCCAGGCTATGTATTCCAAAAAAGGTCTATGCCCTTTCCCTTATTCTTTTGCCTTCTCACTGGCTCTCCAAAGTCCATGGGTGGTGCCCCACTTTAGACTAGAGATGAAGGCAATACCCTAGGAGTAGAAGAGCAAGAGAGTGGAAGACTGGCCCCCTGAGTCTGGGTAGCCACCATACCAGCCATGAACGCTCATATCCAGACTACTGCATGTGTGAGAAAGCAAGTTTTCTCTCGTTTAAGACATTTCTTTAATGTAATTTGGGTTTCTGTGACAGCAACTGAATCTAAATCCTAACTGACATATTAACTGCCAATTAGATGTCTCCGTTTACTTATCTCATGCACCCTCAACTCCGTTTACTTATCTCATGCACCCTCAACTCAGCTTGTCCCAACTTATCTTCCCTCCTCCCATGCTCTTGATATCCTTCTGAATAGCACCATAATGTCCCCAAGTTGCTCAAGTCACGACTCTGGGTATAACCCTAAACACTCTCTGTCCCTCAGCGCCACACCCAACATCCAGGCAGCCACCAAATCCCATGGGGTTGCCTCCTCAACCCCTCCCGAATATCTCCACTTCCCTCAGTTCCTACTCCCAGAACCGTAGTCCATGTCACAGTCATCCCTCACTGGGACCTCCATGGCCTACTAATTGATGTTCATTTCTTATTTCCCTCCATTACACCTTCCATGATACAACTGGAAGGAATATTCTTACATGCAGATCTGAATCTATTGTATCTCTGCTTAAAACTCTTTACCTGTTTCCCATTGACTTTAGGGTAAAGGATGTGCCTACTAGAATGGCTTATACATAGGGTAAGTAACCTTCCCAGTATGCCCAGGACGAACCTAGTTTAGGCCTGTTGCTCAGTATTAGTTATTAATAACACCCCCTTTCACTCTCAAAGGTGTCCTGATTTGGATGATAAACTCCATGGTCACTTATTTACAAGGCCATTGATGAGCTGCCCTCAGACTGTCCCTCTAGGCTTGTCTCTCATGGTTAATCTCTTGTTCTCATCATTATGATCTCTTAATTAAATCCTCAAATCTGTCATTTTTTTATTTGACCTCACAACCTTTGTACATGCCATTCCTCTGCTTGAAATCCTCATCCTTCTCTTCTTCACAAGGCTGTTCTCTACTCATCCTTTAAATATTGCTATGAATTGAATTGTGTCCCCCAAAATTCATATGTTGGTGTCCTAACCCTCAGATTCTCAGAATGTGACCTTACTTGGCAACAGGATCTTTACTCAGTTGAATGAGGTCATTTAGTGTGGCCCTATTCCAATATGACTAATATCCTTATGAAAGGGGGAAATTTGGAGATACACACTTGAGGACAGCAAGATGTGAACAAGAAAAGAGTTATTTACGAGCCAAGGAGGGAGGCCTGGAACAGCGTCTCCCTCACAGCCCTCAGGAGGAACCAACCCTGTTGACATCTTGATTTCAGACTTCTAGCCTCCAGAACCATAAGACAACAAATTTCTGTGCCACTCAGATGGTGGTACTTGGTTAATGGCAGCCCTAGCAAACAAATAAATCCATCAACAGGTGAGTGGATCAGCAAACTGAGGTATTCCCATACTATGGAATAGAAAGAAATGAACTATTGATGACACATAGCATAAGAGAATTTCAAAATAAGATAATTCAAAATAATTATGCTGTATGGAAGATGCCAGGCCAAAAAAAAAAAAAAAGTATATCTTTGTATATAAAATTCTAGAAAACACAAACAAATCCAGAGTGACAGAAAGCACATCAGTAGTGGACTGGGGACAGGGGATGGGGCAGCGATGGGGTAAGGGAATGTGTGGCAAGACCTATAAGAAAGGGTCTGAAGGGCACAAGGAAATTTTAGGGGGTGATAGATATATTTATTATCTTGATTATGGTGACGGTTTTGTGGGTTTATACATAAGTCACAACTTATCGAATTGTATATATATGAGCAGTTTATTATATGTCAGTAATACTTCAATAAAGCTTTTTTTTTTCCAAAGAAAGAAAATGCATAAACTAAATGTGGCTCTCTGAACCTAAATTATTACATTTTTATATAAGAAATATTGATACGTAAGGAATATCCTTCATCATTCCTAGAACATTTGGCACGTCCCCTTAATAAAATTCCCCTGAAGGAGTTTATATTATGGATGGAAAAGTGAGTGCAGCTTTGAAGCTCGCCACATGGAATGACCCAGCAAAGACCTCAGATGTGTCCAATCCACAGGTATTTCTTGTACAACTGGAAAATGTGGTATAATGTTCCACTCTCTGAACGTATAATTGTTCCAGTCTCTAAAAACAATTACTTTAAATTGAGCTCTAATACAGACACCATCTTAACTTTAACATTAGTGGGAAATATACAAATGACTCAAAGCTACCATTTAAGATGAAATTTTACATATTTATAAATGTATTCTTTACCTGACAAAGGAAACATTATAACACATTAATAAAAAGAGAAAGATAGTTAATTTAGTTCTCATATAGCTTTTGCCCTACCAAATATTATGCCTAAAAGTAGTAACTATTTTAAGACTACTTCCATTTTTCCTTGTTTCAGATTTTTCATGTATTTGTCCTTTGATAAAATCCAAAAGGACAAGTAACCCAATGTAAAGAAATTATGTAAATTCCCTTAACAAGTAAAATGTAACCCATGAAAGGAATTCTGCAGGACGCTGGAACTTACCAGAGGGCCAACTCAAATTCCGGGAGAGAAGAGTAACTAGCCAGGTAGGTGCCACAGTAACTGAACGAAAGTAAAGTGTAGTCCAGAAGAACATTGCCTAAAAAATGAAATCCATTATAAGGATTTAATTATAGTCTATAGTTGATTTCCCTTTTCTAATAATTTTCACGTAATTCAAAAACATTTAGCTCTTGGAATAAAGTCTCCTGGCTGATTTCTAACATTATGAAAAGAAAGTTAAGAGCAAAATTAAGATCCATTTAAAAAAGATATTGGAGTTAAATTAAGACTATTAGTTCACTGTCTCTAGATTTCAATGTACAACTGAGCATACTGTACCATGTATTTCCCAGTGTGATCTGAAATGACCCAAAAACCTAAAATATCCCATAAATATAAAAAACACTGTAATTAGAAAAGTTATTCAAACAAGTTTAAATGCCTGGGGGAGATGTGATGATTCTAGCTTACTTCCTCATCTCTAAACCTTAGGCCATGTCTGGCCCTTGGCTTAATATTTTCCAGTTCTTGGAACTACTATAAAAAGTTTTATTCTCATTTGTACCAATAGTTGAAGAAATGAAATATGATTTTAAAAGTCTTAGCAACGATGTGTTTAAAATGTGCTAAAACAGTGTGATGTGTCTGCTTCTGCCTCCCTGTATATGAGGCTCTGGTTTTCCTTCTCCTTTATCTGATGTTCTTTGTCTTTTCTTACGCCTGTCTTTTTTACATTCATGCCACTTCTGTGTATTTTTTTAGTTGTGCATTTTTAATGGCTCTCTTTTCTGCCTTTTTACCCTCCTCACTTTAGTTGACCATAATATAATGCTAAACTTTGTCATTTATTGAATTTATTTAGCACAGTCTGATACAAAGGAAACAGCTTGTATTTTTTCAAGTGTTCAATGAAAAAATAAGAATTTTTTTTTTCTGTGGAATAGAGAGAGGCCTTTATAGAATAATTTTCTATCCTTTCTATACAGACATTTCCTCCCATAACTGAATATTATTAATTTACATTTTCTTTATATTTATTTTAAATTTTAAAAAATGAATGGTTTAAACAGACTCACAAATATAGAGGACAATCTGGTGATGGCCAGAGGGGAGGGGTTTCAGGGGGACTGGGGGAAAAGAGTGAAGGGTTAAAGAAGTACAAATTAGTAGTTGATAGCTGGTTACAGGGATGGGGGGCACGGCATAGGGAATGCAGTCAGAAGTAATGTAATGGCTATGTGTGGAGCCAGAGGACAGAAAGAGCAATCAGGGGGATCGCTTCACAAACTACATAAATGTCTAACCAATGCACTATATACTTGAAACTAATAATAAAATAAAAATTTTTTAAATGCATGGCTTTTGAATACAACAAAAAGCATAAAAAGAAAAATGTATCCTCTATAATTCTACTATCAAATTTGATAAGTTTATTTCTGGTATTTTCTTCTGTGTTTACTTGTAAAAATACATATTTTTCCTTTAAATATAACTTTGCTTTTTATAGCTATAATAATCATGGTTTAAATATTATGCATATTCATTTTAAAAAATGAAACTTTGATCACAGTTATTCTTATTAGTTTATTGCTGTTGTTTACCTTACATCAAGCTTTTGATAATAATTATTTAAAAATGTGAATTTTAATGTTTGCATAATATCCCTTTAAGGGATGTTTTAACTTATTTAACCATATTCATGTTATTGGAGAAGTAGGTTGTTTCATCTTTTGCTATGATGACAGTACTGTTAACTCCTTTGCATGCAAATCTTTGACCATATATCTGATTATTTCCTTCTATCTAGTTCTTGAAGTGGGTTTGAGTTGGAGAAAGTAAATATCTACTTCCCAGAAAGACCATATCAATTTATACTCCTAATTTTAGGGAAAAAAGCGTGCTACCAATTTCGCTGCACTCTGCCTTTCAGTTATCAGGTTTAAAAACATTATGACCTTGATAAGCAAAAAAATCTTATCTTGTTTAAACGACACTTTTAATATGAATATTGATATGGAACATTTTTATGTTTTAGATCATTTGTAGTTTTGTGGCGTGGTTAAGTTCCTTTTCCATTGTTCTTCTTTTACTCTCGTTTCATGAATGCTCTGAAAATATTTGATCATATTTGTTCCAAATATTTTCTTTAGTTTGCCTTTTAATGTTTCATGGTATTTTTGATGTTCATAAGTTTTCAATTTGTATCTAATCAAATGTCTACTTTTCTATTTTTAATTTTTTCCTTTGTGTAAAAAGTCTTCCTCATCCTGAAATCATTTCAATTTTCTACCATATTTTCTTCTACTTTTCAATGGGTTTGTTGTTGATATTGAACTCTTCATCTGATATATGGTTTGATGTATAGTATGAGTACCTAACTTATACTTCTGTTCAAATAGTTCTCTTAACACCACTGCTGAATAATCCATATCATCTATTTTTCTATGTGTATGTGGGGAAGTGTCTTTCCTCATATACTTAGCTTTATTCTAGAATCGGTCCTCAGCCTTCCACTCTTTCACTGATCTGGTGATCCCTACACCAATACCACACTCTTAGTTATTGTAGCATCAAAATGTAAAAAGGGCTCTCTGCCTTGCCATCATTCTCTTTCAAATTATTCCCCTTCTCTACTTTTTGTCCTTTCAGATGAACTTTGGAATCATTTCATTTAAGTACTCCTGGCTCTCTAAAACATATGATAAACCTATGAATTACTTTCTGTGAAGAATAACAGAAATATATTTATAATAATCAGGCTTTCCATCCAGGAATATGTCTCTATGTAAATATTTCAAATCAGTGATTTTCATGTAGTTTTATTCACCGAGGTCAATCACATTTCTTCTCTGAATTATTCCTAAGTATTTAAATCTAACTGGATGGATATTTATTTTGAAACCAGCATCTTTAAAAAAAATTTTTTTGTTATTATTCTTTTTTAATTTTCATTTTTCAATTAGAGTTGACATCAATATTATTTTATATTAGTTTCAGGTATGCAGCACAATGGTTAGATATTTATATAATTTACGAACTGATTCCCCCCAATTATTCTAGTACCCACCTGGCACTATACATAGTTATTACATTATTGACTATGTTCCCTATGCTGTACTTCACATCCCTGTAACTGTTTTATAGCTACCAGTGTGTACTTCTTAATCCCTTCACCTTTTTCACCCAATCCTCAACCCCGCTCCTATCTGGCAATCATCAGTTTGTTCTCTGTATCTATGAGTCTGTTTTCATTTTGTTTGTTTGAAACCAGCATCTTATTGAGCACTCTTTTATTGGTCCTAGTGGACTACTGCATTACCCATTATCTCCTTTCCCATAGCTATAATGTTTCTCAGTTTCAAATTGTTGCATTGGCTAGAACTTCCAGGCTGATAATAAAAAATAATGGTATCAACAGGTATCTTTATTGACTTATTCCTAATTTTATTGTGAATGCCTTTAGAGTTTCATTATTCAATATGTATGTTGGCTATTGGTTTGAATTAACTTTCAATTAGCTGGACAGGGCTTTAGTCAAATAAGCAAGCTGAGGAAATTTTAAAGATGAAGGGTAGTTAGAGTACACATAAATAGTTCCCAATGTATAAATGGGTTATATTTTAAAAGTTGTTTTAATCTGTGAGAACACAAATTTCCCAACAAATAAAATGTTAAATTATAGTGAAGTTCTCTGGCTTGACCCAAACACTTATTTCACACATAAGTCTACAGAACTAAGACCAGGATTAAGCTCTCCTGAGATTTCTGTCCATGATGTGTTAAATGAGGGACTCATTAGATGGAGGATCCAGTAGATGTGCAGGTATCTAAGAATGAGTCCATAATAATTTAAATGGTAGGTAACATTGATTGACATATTATATATATTATGTATGTCATATGTCATATAATGACCTATTAAATATGTGTAAATAAAATTTCATCTATTATCATCACTGCCTTAACAGTAGGTACTACCATTATCCCCATTTCATGGAAAAGGAAATTGAGGCTCAGAGACTTATCTTTAGAAGTTATACAACATCAATTCACTTGGATTTTCAACAAATCATCAGAAAAGAAAAAAATCATTCTGAAAAAGTTTTTCAAACTGCATTTAGTGCTATAAATGAGTCTTCTAGCATAGTGCTTCTTAAGCATAATGTGCATATGAATCACCTGGGAACTCTTGTTAAAATGAAGATTCTGAATCAGTAAATCTTGGATGGAGAAGAGTTTCTGCATTTATGACAAACAGTCTAGGCGATGCCAGTGTAGAAGGTAAGCGGACCACATTTCAAGTAGTAAGGCTCTAACCCACTTAATTAAATCCTTTGTGATCAGCATGAGTCCTTCTTGAAAAAATGTGTATTACAAGAAGAAATCTTCCAAAGAAAACCTTCATTTATAAGAACTAGATTTGCTTACATTTTATAACAAAATTATGTTATAACAAATTTATGGCAGAGAAAGAGTCTTACAGGATACCTTTTAATTTGGTCCTTCTGGTTAATCCAGGAAAGTTGTATATGTAGATGAGGGGTTTTAGCTTCCGGTCAGAAAAAGCTACAACTTCATAAGGAACATTAGTTGCCACGACGCCCACGATTCCATTCATACACTGAAGCACAGTCTTTTTCTTAGTTTCAATATTAATAAATACTACAAAATTCCCACAAGAGTAGCAAATGGTGCTGTCGTTGACAAAATGAACATTCTGCTTAGGGAATCCTTGCACCCATCTTTAGGGAAAAGATATGTCACCATCAATATAATATATTTAAAATATTTCCTTTTTTTGAGAAAAATCATCAGAATCTCTGAAACATAATTATTCTATTTTCACCCTCTTTCTGCTCAAAACAATCTCTAAGATAAAAGAACCCTTATTCTGGCTTTGAAGAAGGTTTGAGTCCGGGCACTACAAAAAATTAAATAAGACCTCAAGTTCCACAGGTCTCAAGAGCTTTCTTCAGAGAACTTTTTCAGTGAAGCTAATTCTCTGATCAAACCTGAGAAAGTCTCAGAAGGATTTCTAGGGTCTTGTATACTTGAAAAAGAAAGAGAGAAAACAGAAAAAGAACCCTTATTCTGGCTTTGAAGAAGGTTTGAGTCCGGGCACTACAAAAAATTAAATAAGACCTCAAGTTCCACAGGTCTCAAGAGCTTTCTTCAGAGAACTTTTTCAGTGAAGCTAATTCTCTGATCAAACCTGAGAAAGTCTCAGAAGGATTTCTAGGGTCTTGTATACTTGAAAAAGAAAAAGAGAAAACAGCAGAGAGAGAGAGAAAAAAAACTTGATCTTAATAGAAAACAGGACATATTTTGCGCCTTTCTTTTATAATTAGCTTTGATTTTAAAAATAAATTTTAAGAAACAACTTTGAATCTGACAGCCTGCTTTGTGGTTGTAAGGGGAGTGGGAAAATTGCTTCTTTACAAAGATGAAGCACGGGGAGCCATGTTTTCGATCTAAAAATACAGATAAACACAGAAAATAAAAGGAATTAAGTAAACATGAATGAAAAGGCAGAGAGAGAGAGAGAGAGAGAGAGAAACTTGATCTTAATAGAAAACAAGACATATTTTGTGCCTTTCTTTTATAATTAGCTTTGATTTTAAAAATAAATTTTAAGAAACAACTTTGAATCTGACAGCCTGCTTTGTGGTTGTAAGGGGAGTGGGAAAATTGCTTCTTTACAAAGATGAAGCACGGGGAGCCATGTTTTCGATCTAAAAATACAGATAAACACAGAAAATAAAAGGAATTAAGTAAACATGAATGAAAAGGCTAGAACACAAAAGGAACATACTCAAGTAAGAAATGTGTGGTGGATGTATGCTAGAAGTAAGAGTTTGAGATGAGGGGAGATTCTCGTTTTATTTAAATATTAAAGATATGCTTAAAGAAAAATGGAGAAGGCAAGACAAGGGCACTGGCTTTGTAAGAAGCTTTATGGGATTGGAGAGTACACTCGAGATCGGCGGAATATGTTGTGTGGAACAGACTGCAGGTAACACTCTAGAATATGGAAAGAAATACCACCTTTATCTGTGCAGCGCTTTATGCTTTTCAAAGGCCACTATAAATGCAAATAATTCCAAAGTTAGTGGTTAGGAGTAAGGAGGAAGAAACTGCCGGCCCTAAATTGGGGAAAAAGAAACCGAAGACTATAAGTATGAGATGGGACTGTCATTGGGATGGGGGTGGAGAGGGGAGGGTATATTTATAAATGGTCAGAGAAAAACAGATCACTGGGGCAACACTGAGCCAGAAAGAGGAGGCAGAAATGAAGAGTGGAGGACAGCCAAGCTGGGTAAGCGAGCAAGCGATGGGAAAAATAAAGGCGGCCGGTGGGGTGGGGGGCGGGGGAGGGAGGACAAGTAGAGATGTGGTCATTGAATAAGGGGATGGAAAGAAGGGTCTACTGGAAGGCGTTAGGGTTTGAGGAGAAGAGGTCGAAGTTTCTGGGAGAGCAGATCTAAAGAATGGGAGTTAGAAGCGGGTAGGGAAGGGATGAAAGTCAGAGGAAGAGTTTCCGCAAAGTCAGTCGCTGGGCGGGAACGCCGCACCTCACGGACAGGGACGCGTAGAGGTTCTCCTCTAGCTCTCGGACTTGCGCCATGGGCTGTGTTTCTCTCAGACAGCCCTGGGCAGCAAACGATGGACCCGGGCTCTGGTCCACAGCCCTGACTCCGAGGCGTCTGGCTACGGGCGGCGCAACCTCCACTGTTTGCACCGTGGCCAGGAGACAGTAACCCCTGCGCCCATTGGCTCTTCTCTTTCGGCCTACTCCTTCTAGAGCCGAGAGGATTGGTCTAAGCGCTGCCACGTATTGGCCAATGGGCGAACGGTGAGCGAAGAGATGGGCGGGCCCCTTGGAAAGGATGCGGGAGTGGCCCAGCCCGCGGCAACTACTTGCAATATTATTAATAAATATAGCGAAAATTAATATTGAATGCTGACCAAGCCAGACGTTGTTTCAAGCTCCATGCAGGAATTATTTCATTTAATCTTCAAATCCCCTAGATGCCCATTTTACAGGTGAGAAAAATGAGGATAAGGAAAGTAACTTGCTTAAGGCTATAAAGCTGAGTTGGATTTAAAACAACATCTAGTCTAAATCTAGAGCTCTGAGCCTTTAGTTATCATATTACACTTTCAAATGTACCCTCCGCTCTTTAAAAGAGGCAGTTTCTAGAAGTAACCTGATCAAAAGGTCAGCAGCTTGTTCTTGCTTCTTCCCTTCCCTCTCGTACCCGCCCTTGTCATCTCTCCCTTTCCTTCTCTTCCCCTTCAGTCCTCTCCTTTTCCTTTCCCTCCTTCTTCAGGTCCCTTCTTCCAGTCCTGCCACACTCTCTCCATTTCATTCACAAATATTTACTATCTCCCTTGCATTGCGCTAGTCACTTGGAACAAAATAATGAGCAAAACAGATAAAATTCCTTTCTTCTTGGAACCTAGTGACAGGTGGTGGTGGTGGTGGGGATAGACATCCACTTTATTCCACAAATATAGATTGAATTAAGAAGAAAAGGAACGTGATATATTATGAGAGCTTATGTTGGGGTCCTCACCTAGTTGGATGGGCAGTGTCAAAGATGGATTCTGTGTGAATAGGAACCCTCATACACTGCTGGTGGGACTGCAAATTGGTACAGCCACTATGGAAAACAGTATGGAGGTTCCTCAAAAAAACTAAGAATTGACCTACCATATGATCCAGCAATCCCTCTACTGGGTATTTACCCCAAAGACTTGAAAACCCATATCCGAAAAATATTTGCACACCAATGTACATAGCAGTATTATTCTATGCTGCTATGTACAGTGGCCAGGACATGGAAACAACCGAAGTGTCCTACAATAGATGATTGGCTAAAGAAGCTATGGTACATATATACAATGGAATATTACTCAGCCATAATGTTGCAGGAAGCGACACCCGAGGGAGGAAATTAGACGCTCAGACAACTTGATTAGAGGAAGGAGAATTTAATGCCAGTGGACAGCATGGGGCATTCAACAGACCCAAAGCACGATCTTTCCTTGGTTAGATTTCTTACAGCTTATATACCCTTGCAGTGTCCATGCAAGGGGCGCGTGATTCCTTTGTCTGAGGTTTCACGTGTGCTTCATGACTCACGATGGGAGGGAGAGCTTTGGATGGGGGGCCGCAAGGGGGGAGAAATTTCCAGACCAGGTTGTCTTACAGGTCGTTTGTTTTGTAGAACCCACGACCTTGGTGTTATCAGCACCATTATAGGATTCTTGAATAGAGACAGGACCTGCTCAGTGGATTCCTATCCAAAGGTGAGCTCTAATTGTAACATAACAAGCAGTTTTACACAGTCTTGTTATTCCTACACAGCTACAGAGATAAGAACATTAGTTGGATAGCAAGCTATAAATCAACAGATATGGGCTGGAGAATCCTAGAGGTGGGGGAGGTAGCTATGGGAAAACATGTTAGCTGGAGAGCACTGGGCAGAATGGGGGAAGAGAGCAGTTTTAACCGGCTGAGTCGGTTATTTCTGCAGGCCCTTTCCTTTGCATTTTTTTCAGATGCCCCCTCTCCTCTCTCAATGAGAAGAGATGAAATACTGCCATTCATGACAACATGGATGGACCTCGAGATAATCATGCTAAGCGAAATAACCCAGCCAGAAAAAGTTGAAAATCACATGATATCACTTATATGTGGGATATAAACCTAAAAGCAACAAATGGTCAAGACAAACAAACAGAGACTCATGGACATGAACTATAGACTAGTGGTCACCAGAAGGTAGGGGGTGGGGGAGGAGGGGGTAGGTAGATGGTTAAAGGGGGTCAAATATAGGGAGGTACGAGGAGGGTGAAGTGGATAAAGGGGATCAAATATATGATAGCTGAAGGAAACTGGACTTTGGGTGGTAAAAACAATAGAATATACAGATGTCATAATGTACACCTGAAAATTATATAATTGTATTAACCGATGTTACCCCAATAAACTTAATTTAAAAAAAGATGGATTCTGTGCATATGTGCTGTTTTCGCTGAGGGTCAAAAGATGAGGAGTGATTGTTAGGGTGTGTGGGGAATGGGCAGAGGTCAGTTTTTGGAAAGGTATTAAGGCAGGACAACAGATTGGATGAACTGGGAAGGGCAGTATGATTGGAGCAGAGGAAGATGAGTAGAAAATACTGAAGATAAGGCTGGAGAAGGAGCCAAGGGCCAGGTAAAGGCCAAGTTGAGAATTCTGGTATTTATCCTAAGAGCCATGGAGAGACATTACATGGTCTTAAACAGGGGAATAACATGATTAGATTTATGTTTTTAAAAGATTATTCTGTCTGCAGGAAGATTATCACTTGGGTAGGGCAGTAAGGAGTATAGAAATAGGATCTGTTAGGAGTTGATTTTATGGCCCTAACAAAGGGAACTAAAGCAGGGTTTCTCAGGCTCGACACTATTTGCATTTTGGGCTGGACAGGGGTACAACACACAAACCTCACACTGTTCAAACACAGTAAGTCTTTTGTTTCAGGGGCCTGGGAAAAAAGTGGAGAAGCATTCCTCTGGGGCAGGAAAGGGACTAGTCACAATGGTAGATCTCTAAGCTTGCAGTCATGCTAGGGGAATGCTGAGCACTGTATTCCCCAAGACAGATGGATGGGACCTCTAAAGCATGAGGCCCATGGCAGGGGCACCTCTTGTGACTCTCTGTTGGTGGCACCATATCACATGTTTGACAATCTATGTACTTAGTGAAAGATTAAATAATGTAGGAGGAAAACTTCGTAGGAGCTAATGAAAGGGGAAACAGTTTATAAGAATGATAAAATACATTATAAATATAGGAATCAATTTTCATTGTGGACAAATATCACTTAAAATAGCACTTTAGGAGAGGATTAAGTACCAAGTTTTTGAAGACCATTGTTTATCATCATTACACATTTAAGATTTGAGTTTGAATAACTTCAACAAGATTTAAAATCCTCTTCAAAAGCTTCAAGTCTCATCTGCATTAGACTCTCCATTGAAACTTCTCCCAAAAGTTAAAACTTAAAAGCTCTAAAATCCATCAGTATCTTTCACTTTATATCCTTTCATTTGACTTGCCTTCAATTTCCTTTACTTTATGGCTCTTTCATATTACTTGTGTTCCCTTAGACTAGAAACAAAGAAACAGTGATTTCCAAAAAAAATATATGTCCTGTGGCCATAAGTTTTTACCGGTAGAAACCTGGACTGACAAATTTATAATCTGGTGTTTCACTGTATTTTATGACAAAAGCTTGAGTCCACAAGAAAATGAGAATGAAGTGGTGAAAATATCTGGGTTCAGATTATACTCTCAGAGGCTAAGAGGTTTACAGAAAAGACCCCTGAACCTAAAAGTTCATGTTCTTCTTCTGTCTCTGCTTCTTACTGGGTGGGTGATAACTGGAAAAGTCACTGAACCTTTCTGAAATTTAAATTCATCATCCATAAAGTGAATGTGATAATATTTTCCCTGCTTATCTTCATAGGGTTGTTATGAGGATCAAATGAAATAATGTATATGAATAGAACTTTATATAAAATATGCAATACAGACACATGGTCCTGTTACATAGTTGCAAGTTATTTCCCTCTTCTGTTGAGCCCTGGAATGAAGATGATTTACATGCACACTGACTGCATGCATCACGTTCAGGCTGTCTACCTGGTTACTAGGCTATGCTAAATTTTTTTTTTCTGAGTACATAGAATACTATTGGGGGCTAATTCTAAGAAGAACATTCTCAAGTTCCCTTAAATTATTAATTAGCATGAGTGACACAAATTTATATTCTAAAACAATTATGAATTGGAACATATTAGTGGTATGATCTGTTTTTAAAATGAAAGAACATGAAACAAAATTTCACCATGCATCTCACATGGTAAAAATAAATAATGTTTCAGATATCTGTGTGTGTATTTGTATTTTTATACTTGATCATTAAATAAAATGCATTTTTCCCTTTAAAAAGGTCAATAAGTACTTTGGAGGTGTTTATGAGGGAGACATAGTGTATTTCATCAAATCTAAGATAAAATGATAAGGGGAAAAATCTACCAATAAAATTACAATAGAATTCTTTCTCATCACCCAGAATTTTTATTTTATACTTATTGAAAGAACTCTTTTAAACTTAGATGTTTATCACAAAAGAACTCAAACTTATTTAGAAATATATTTTGATCCTATATTACTCTTGTGCAAGTATAAACAAGAAAATATAAGTGACATAAGCTAAGATGTTACTACAGCTTCTTCATTTTTAGAATACAGCTCTTTTGAATAACGATTCAAATCAGTCATAAGCATTCATTTCCCCAACGTCCTCCGCCCCAGCATTGTCCTCTGTGCCAATAAGAGCATTTCATTTAATACGCAGCAAGAATACTCTCTTACTATCTCTGGGATCCTCTTCCAAGCCACTGACATCCACTCTGCAAATTTAAGCACAAACAATAACATCTATGTCAGATGTCGGGACTGCACCCAGCCTAGTGATTTTAAGACATAGCCCCATTTTCAGAGGTGTTCAAAAGTGAAGAAATGTATAGCTTAGAGAGACAGTACCTAGAAGGTATGTCTTATCCCTCGGATCTTTTAAGACTTGATCTTTAACCAGCAGAATCAGTTGAGGTTAGCCCACTCAGGTTAATTATTGACAATTACAGATGCAAAAATGCGAAATACTGTGTTTTCCCCTGTGGCTAACAGCAGTGTGTATCCAGATATTCACATGCTAGGCACATAACCCCAAAGAGCTTGGAGATGACCCACTATAATACAGAGCAACGCTACAGTCTAGTAGTTTCCTGGAACGCATATTTTCTTCTCAATTTATTTCTTTGATGAATTAATTGTTTACTTTATTAATATATTAGATCTTTCAAATGATTACAACAAAACGTTATACTAGTCATACTAATTAGAGAACCAGCCATTCCAAGTAAAAGTTCTCAAATAATACCTTGATCTGAAACTTTTAGTTTGGTCAGTCAGAGGTTTTTCCTGGCCAAGTTTAAATTTACAGGGTTAATTTCCATGATGTCATTAATGTGCTAAAAGACCTCGTAAAAAGTTAATTTTCTAAAAAAGAGTTAAACAAGACCCATGTTTTAGCAAAACTATGGTCTATTTTTTTCACTTAGTATTTTCAATGACAAACAATTAGTTAATATTTATTCTGTGTCAAGAACTGTTCTAAGTGCTTTCTATATATTTACTAATTTAATTCTTCGAACTCTGTAAGAGACATTAGGTTTTTCTGCCCCATTTTACAGATGAGGGAACTGAGACATAGAACTTTCCCACATTCATAGGATTAATAAGCGGTTACTATAATTCATATGGTTTCATAATAAATTCATATGTCGAATTACAAATTTTTAAATTCATATATTGAAGCTCTAATCCCCGGTACCTCAAAATGTGACTTATTTGGAAATAGGTTCGTTGTAGTTGTAATTACTCCAATTAAAATAAGGTCATACTGGATTAGGGTGGATGCCCCCCACCCCAATCCAATGTGACTGGTGTCCTTATAAAGAGGGTAAATTTGGAAACAGACATGCACACAAGGAAGGATGCCATTTGAAGATGAAGGCAGGGATAGAGTGATGCTTCTATGCTGGAAAGAATGCCAAAGATTGCCAGCAAACCACCGGAAGCTAGGGGAGGGGCACCAAACAGATTCTCACATTCTTCAGAAAGACCCAACCCCAGTGACACCTTGATCTCGGACTTCTAGCTTCCAGAATGGTGAGAATAGATTTCTGTTGTTTAAGCCACTCAGTTTGTGGTACTTTGTTACTCTGACTCTGGGAAACTAATACAGGGCTGGAGTCAGGTTCAAACCCAGGCAGGAAGGCTGGAAGATCCAGTATGCTTATTACCTTACCCTCCACCTCTCTCATAATAGCGCTAATCAAAATAAAAAACAGACCCCCTCCCCCTGCAAATAAATGGCACAGGAGTCACCAGCTTTCAAATCTAGACAGATAAGCAAAACATTGACTAGCTTTCGTCATATCCGTACCATGTGCCCTGGAACCTCTCTTTCCTAACCCCTAAGAGGGGCTGTTTGAGCAGACGCTATGGCCAGATATTTTTCAAAGACCCATGGGACTAAATTTACTCAGTCCACCTGACTGACTCTGAGCCTGTGCCCCTACCAGAGCTTCGAAATCCAAATGTTTAATAGATTTTTGAAAGCAGAACCATCTGAGGTTAGAATACCCAATTCGTTTACTTTGTGTTGAAATTTGAAGGATGTGTTCTATGGGTGACAGTAGGGGCAGTGGCCTTCCCAGTAGTTATATTAAGCTAGTACTGACAGAAAAAGGAAAAGTCTGTCCAGATGGATGGGCAACCTGTCCCTGCGCCACGGACAGGAACCTTTGGAGAGTACGTTCTGGAATGGTGAGCCAGCCCTGGGCCCAGGCCACAGGCCCTGAAGTTAGGGATGCCTTGGAGAAGAAAGAGAGCTACCTACCATCAGATCCGTGCCACGTGAGAGCGCCTCGAGCGCGCTTCCCAGTGAGGGCCGGAAATATGGAGATCAAGGTCAGGAGCGGACCCGCGTGGAGGGCTGACGGGAGACCACAATCGTTAGTGGTCAGGCAATGGCCCTGAGGGTTTCTTTTGTGCATCTCGTCGTGGACGCATCTCTCGGCCAGCACGATACGCTTTGGCACAACCACCAGCTGCAGGGGTTTAAGGGCGATCCCCACAAAACCAGGAAGGCGAGCGACAGGTGGGCGTCTCGGCGGCGATTTCCCGCGAGGCTTTGGAGTTGCGGGGGCTGCGCGCGGCGGTCCAGGCTGTCCACCTGGGTTCCTATGACCTTGCGCTGCGGGAGCACAGAGAGGTCATAGGAACCCGGCACAGGCGGAGTTGGCCTCCACCCCTGGTTCGCACTTGTGAGAAAGGAAGGGAGGGAAGAAAGGGACGACCTACTTGCTGAATCGCCTGCAAACGCGGAAACGAGATCAGACTGCGCTTCGCCACGATGTCCGGAGCATCAGCCAGGAGCCTGGAGAAAGGTGAGGCTTGCCCGCCGCGAGCGGTGGGGTTAATCTCGGCGACCCCCCGGCCGCGGGTCCCGGTGCGGCTGCTCGGGAGCCGAGACTCCGGGAGGGCCCCCTACCTCAGGGAACAGGGTTGGGCTGCAACACGCGGGACCTCTCCACGGCCGGCCTGGGGGTGGCGGGAGGCTGAGGGTCCCCGCGGCTCTCCGGGCCATCACCGCCTTCGCTTCTCCTCGACAGGGAGTGCGCCCCCAGGACCGGTCCCGGAGGGCCTGATCCGCCTCTATAGCATGAGGTTCTGCCCCTACGCCCAGAGGACGCGCCTTGTCCTGAAGGCCAAGGGAATCCGGTGAGGACCGAGGCAGAGGCCGCTACCTTAGCCCGCCGGGAACCTGCAGCTACGGGCGCCGGGAGGTCGGGTGGGGTGGAGGAATGTGGGATGGGTACCCCGGAGCTTCCTTTACTGCAAAATAAATTACTATTCTCAGCCTTTTCCGGGAGCATAGCAAGTTACATACTCTCTCTCTGTGGAGCGGGATGGGGGGACTGCCACAGACTCCAGCAGTCTAGGACACCCCATTTAAATTAACCATTTTATGGATTAGAAAAACTGGGGCGCCAGTAAAGTTAGTGACAGGCAGCAAGCCGCCCTTTTAGCTATGGTAGATCGCTGATTCTTGGTCCACTGCCCTTTCACTTTCTTTCTTTCTTCTTTTTTAAAATTATTATTTATTATTATTTATGCCTATAGCACCTGGTCTTCCTAGGTGGTCTCCCATCCAAGTTCTAACCAGGCCCGACCCTGCTTAGCTTCCGAGATCAGACGGGATGGGGCTCGTTCAGGGTGGCATGGCGGTAGACCATGGACTGTGGTGACTCTACTGGGGCCTGAACCCAGGACCTTATGCGTGTAAAAGCAGATGTGCTAACTGCTACACTATGGGACCACGGCCATGCTCCTTCACTTTCACTCCACTTCTCTATGTTCGGTTTATGTAACTGCTGTTATTCCGTTCCCTTATCGAATAGTCAATAATTAACCCTCGTACAGAGTCCAGACCTTCATCTTCCTGGTAGAGTGCTGAGTTAACTATACACACATGTTCCTATAGGTTGGGTTGTTGGTTGAGTCAAATAAAGTGTCTGTGCCTAAAAATTCAGTCCTTTATGAAGCCTAATTGACACTATCATGGTTATTGGCATATGATTTTGCCATTATAGTGTGTGTATGGGGCGTGGAGAGTGGTCACGGCTGTCAGGTAGTGCAAACGACAGTGGTCTGCTACATTCATGGATCAGTTTTGAGTCCCAGGAGACTTTCATCAAAGAGCTACTAGATTTTACCACACGATATAACCTAGCAAAGCATGGTTTTCTCTAAAGGTGCATCGTTCAACTTGTGGCAGATGTGTTGACTTGTTGGCTCACAATGCCAGGTTACCACCAAACGCACATGTGTTCTGAGAACCTTCTTTATCACAAAAGCCTGGGATCTACCTTTGGTTTTCATAGTATAAAGTTTCAGAAATACTGATAATTCCTTGGCAGGGGGCCTCATTTTTCTTGCATTGGCTTTTATCTGAGTGTCTAGTATTCTCTCAGCACATGAAGCTTCTACTACACACACACACACACACACACACACACACACACACACAC